ATAAATAAATAAATAAATAATTTATTTAAAAGTTAAATACAAAGTAAAATATTTAAAAAGTGTTTAATTTCCCTTTGGATTAAAATATTTCTGTGAAGTATGAAAGTAAATGTGATTAATATGAATTATGTTTAATATTTGATCATATTTATATTTTTCAGGTCAGTCCTGATCATATATACAGTAAGATGAAACCACTGTACATCTCAGATATGTGTGTAAATAAATGTTAGTTTTGTAATGTGAATGTTTTGCTCCTGTTTTGTCTGAATGATGTTTGAACGGTCTGTGATAATTGCAGCCGCCAGGGGGCGCGCGCGGCCTTGCTTTCTAATTAGCAGAGATTGGCAGCTGCCTAATCAGCCCAGCTGCCGTGCAGGTGGCTGCTGGTTCGGTTCTGCTCTGCCTTACTCTGAGAGGAAGCTCGGTCTCAGGGGGAATAATGTGATGACTGACCGGACTGTGGACATCCTGAAAGGTCGGCGGAGCTGAAGACGGTTTGTTTTCACCTGAAACGGCGGCAGAGACAGCAGGTAGGAGCGGCTTTATTTCCAACAGGGCGCGCGGGGGTTTTAAGATGAAATGTTTGCGCTTTGATTCGGTTTGTGGGTTTTTATTTAAAGGGACAGACAGGCGGGGAGTTGAGTCAGTTCATGAACTCCGTGACCCACACTCTCAGGGAACTAGTTTCTGTCCAGCCGGAGGATGGCGCCGCGGATGTGAACCGGACCGGTTGTGGCGCAGTGCGGCCTGTCAGGCAGCAGGGGGCGCCAGAGAGACACAATAAGATCTGTTATGATTCACTACCACAAGAAACAGGTTCATTAAAGGCATTTTTGAGTCTGTTAGTAAAATATCTCATGAACGTATTGACGGATTTTAATGAATCTCACAGAAATTAATCTCTGAATACCAATCTATAACTGATTAAGTTTTGGAATCAACTCTACTTAAAACGGTCGCCAGAGGGGATAAAACTTAAAAACACAACAATGGCTATAACTCAGTTATTCTTAAAGACATTAACCTAAAACCTGGTGTGGTAGTAGCTGAGCCTGGTCTCCATCACTTTTTTCTGAACGCTTAACAGAAACAATCTTAGAATAACATTTTACAACTATTTGTAGTCAACTCATTGTGTCTGTTAGCAAAATATCTCATTAAACTCTGGACATAATTGAATGAAACTTCATGAATATTCATCTACAACTGATTACATTTTGGAGACAACTCAAACATGGCCACCACAGTCTACTCAAATGACTATAGTTACCTGTAAGTCATTTCTGTAGCTATAATTAGATGTATTCGTAGCTGAGTGTCATTCAGAACTATTACTCCAAGTTCTCCTCATTTTGTCAGATTTTATGCTTAATACTTCAGTATAAACTCGCTTTGTCTGTTAGAAAAATAATTCATTTACTGCTGTAGATGTTTTAATGACACTTTCAGAAAGTTTTCATTAGAGGAGCTTCTACGCTAAAAGATGGTTTTGGTGTAAATCTGTGGTGAATTCCAACCGTAGCTGTTTTTGACACTCAGTGATGACGTCACTGCCCAGGTTCTGCTGGGACAGGTTGGGACCAGTGACAGCCAGCTCAGAACCTGTCCCCTCTTCTTCCTCAGACTGTGTGGAATGTGGGCAGAATGTGGTTTTAACACGTCTCTGTTGGGGGAAAATGCACCGATGTCCCTGACAAGGATGTTTGCATTTCTCTGTAAATTGTTTAAAGTCCAAAACCAAAAAAAAACTTGATTCCACCCAGACTTTCTGCAGGACTGAGTTGGGATCTGATGAGGTGGAACACAGTGTGGTCCGGTAGAAGGCAGCGGTCACACAACCATGTGTGGTTTTGTAGAAGCAGATGAGTCATGGTGCCTGAATGTGGCTGTTTGTCACAAGTTTCCTCAGATTCCCACAGGGGAGGGGATCATCTCCAGCCTGGATCAAAGAGTCCTTCATGGTTTCAGTTTGCTTCTCATCTCAAACACAATGTAAACACTCTGAGGCCGAGCCGCTCTCTGCTGAGCTCACTGAATGTGAGGCTCAGACAGGATTGTTTGATTTTCTGCTGCGCAGAGAGAAACCACACGGCTGTACGTTAAACAATAATTACTGTGCGTTAGGGCTGAACAGCTCCTCAAAGGAAGGAGAGAAAACTGAAGCTCCAGCAAAACCACGTCCGGGTATTTGAACACGGCTTTCAGGTTCACTTCAGGTGGAAACATTTAAATTTCATCTAAATGAGCTGAAACGTCCACGTGGTGCGAGTCAGAGGGAAGGTTTGTTTTTGTACGAGCTGCAGTTCCTCAGGTTTTCAAACTGAAACAAAACTGAAGCTTTTCCTCTGAAAAATTCCCCAAGTTCTTCATCAGGGCTTTGTTTTTTTCCTGTTGCTGAGGTCCAGGCCTGTTCCTCAGGATCTAGATTACATGTTTGTGTTTCTGCCCACACATGTGGGCGAGTGGAGCTGCAGAACATCAGGGAGAGGACCGACTGTCTGCAGACCTCGTCTGAGATTTAGAGCCAAGTTTGTCCCAATCAGGTGAAGAAAGACTTTAAAATAAAAGCTGGGAAAAATGAACTAAAAAGAATTAAAGGCAGTGATTCACATCACCTGTCGCCTGTCGTGTCAGAGTTTGTGTAAAACTCTGAGGAGGAATGTCTCCTTCAGATTCAGGGGGAGTTCAGGTATCTGATGATGAAAGAGGCAGGTAGGGATGCACTGATGTGAAAACTTCAGCTACTATCGATATCCAATATAATTATTGCTGATATGGTTGAAAACCGATATTTACAGGTATTACACAAACACACAAAATCTATTATACTTATACGCACAAACACACTTGGGTCTTTTTTAATACTGTAAATAAACAACCAGACCTCTTATTCCTGGCTGCGCAGCAGCATTATCACCATCATGATCAAACAGAAACAGCTGAACCAACCATCTCCCCTCCTTAAACACAAAGTTTAAAAATCACCCCTAATTTACACTACATGCGTTCTGGCTCCGGTCCGGTCCGACCTCCGCAGCAAACACACACCCATTATAATCAATGAGAGTGTTTACACTGGCTGCACACGGTGGTCGGTGGTGAGCGGATGGTGATCCGGCAAAATTAGAACAGATCCTATTTTTGCCAGACGCCGGAGTCAATTTTTAAAGATTACATCGCACAAACAGGAAAAGAAACGAGCACAACATCCGTATTTTCAAAATAAGACACTTTTAGGCTGGATAATTTGTCGGAATAATGTTGAAATTGCAGCTATATCAATAAATATATGGATATATTTCTACACAAATGCTGTCAGAATGTTTTGTTCTGTTTGGGAAGCAGATGGAAACATGTAGCATGAAGCATATGTGTACACACATGATACACGTGGATTTTATTTTGAAATCAGAAGTTTCAGAAAGCCGACAGTGAGACAGTTTCAACATAGATACCAAAAGCCTTTATATCGTTGTTTTCAGCTGTTTGGAGTTCATCTTTCACAGAATTAATTATTTTTTGCTGTGACTTCCACATTTATCACTGAATTTATTGCGCAATCTCCTTCCCGCACGTCTGGACCGCAGTGGAGCGGAGGCTGTATAAATTGAGACACAAACGACCAGCTCCGACCTGCACGCCGCAGCGCAGCAGAGACACATGTAGTGTAAATCCGGGGTGATAAATCAGAATCAGACGTTAATATCGGCCCAGTTTTACATATTGGAACAATACAGATATTAATGCTGATATATCGTGCATCAAGCAGGAGATGGTCTACTGATCAGGGGTCTCATTTATAAAGGATTGCGTGGAAACCATACCAAAAGTGAACGTACGGCCAAAAGGTGGAAATGGCATATGCCAAAAAAATTCAGATTTATAAAACAGTGCGTACGCATGTTTCTGTGCATCTTTCCTTTATAAATCACAGCCGAACGGCAGAGTTTGTGCACAAGGTCCTGCCTCAGGTTCTACCCTCTACACGCCCACACTCAACCATAAACAGTCAATGTAAAGTACCTCATGAATGTTAAGATGTATTTAAATCAGTCAGATGATCAATGCCAACAAAAGTGATTGGTTCAGACACGCTCCGTCGTGAGTCTGGAGGTTGACAGGTGCTGACTGACAGCTGCTCACCTGAACAGAATGTCTGTAATTGACGCAGATTTTCCCTCATTTTGCTTTAGAGTAATCTAACGATTTTAAGAAAAAAAAAAACTCCGCTTCAAATTTATTTTTCATAAGAGCCTGCAGGATGATAAAAACAATAAAATTAAATAAGTCAGATAAAATTAGAAATAAGTCCACCACTCTTCTCCTCGTCCTCTCCCCCTCCTGCCTGCTCTGTTATCTGCGACAGACACCCCCCGCCTGCGCGTGTATCCAAAGCCTGACTTTTGCTGTCCTGCTGTTCTTGTCAGGGAGGGGTCTGTGGGTCAGGGTTGTCTGAGGAGGAAGCAGATGAATGGAGTTGCGCACGGGAACTTTTATTTAAGATTTAAGTTTTTTATTTCAAAGGTCCTCATGGCTCAGCAGCAGCAGCAGCAGCAGCAGAAGCATAAATATTACTGTTAAGAAAACTGATGACAAAGTTGAATAAAAATCTAAGTCTGATTCTGAAGGTAAATTAAATCTCTGACAGTGATCATTACACAGTGTGGCTCTAATTCTTCACTTCACCATCTGTGTCACAGTTTCACGTCTCCAAAATGAGCGTACACATGGGTCAGAGCTGTGAGGCACCGCACATTTTCACGTCAAGTTTGGATTTTATAAATCACAACCTTGGCGTGAAAACTGGCGTACGCAAGTTTCTGGGCTCAAATTGTGCGTACGCCAGTTTTATAAATCCGACCCCAGGTCTGATCCTCAGTAATGAGGGTCGATCAGTAACAGAGAAGAGATAACAGCAGCTGATTTATAAAAGTGTAGAGCAGGACAAGGACAAACACCTGAACTCCTTCCTGTTTGAGGACAGGTGAGCCTCAGAGGAGTGTCTGCAGGTGGAAGGGTCCTGGATGGAGGGAGACGGTTTGTTTTTATTTTAATCTCGTGGTTTCCTCCTCACAGAGGAAGCTGATGTTTAAAAACTGATCGGTCCTCTCCAGACTTGTGTAACGTGAGAAAACGCTCTCTTGCTGTCGTTCTTCTTTTTCTGCCTCAGCGATGAAGCCACGCCCACTCTGAGGTGACTGATTCCGTTAGAGCCGCAGTTTGTTTGTAGAAACAAACGGATGAAGAAAGAGAATAACGGTAAAATGTTTGGCCTTCCTGTCGGGCATCTCTACCTGGTGGGACCTCACAGTAACACAGAGGCTGGAAAGCTTATAAAAAAGTAGGCGGGGCTTGTGGGCGGTGACTCAGAGGCTGGTTTCTGCTGGAAGGCCTGGCTGCAGCCGCCTCACGCCCAAACACAGGGATGATGTTTGCTTCGGTCTCCATGGTGAGATGTTCCACTGACACACATCTTCTCCCTCCATCAGGACCGGGTTGGACCTTTGATGTCTGTAGCTCCACCCCGAAGAAATAAATATAAGCCCCGAGTCAGTTTGTGTTCAGACGTGACCTGTGGGATCACAAGATGTGGATTATTTTATGTTTTAGATTCAGACGGATTGAATTTTCTGCTGAGGGGATGTTTGGTTTCCTGTCTGTGATGTTTGTTCACCTCTGAAGAAGGTTTGTTTCCTTTTCCTGGAGGAATTCGTAGTTTTACTTGATGAGCCTCTGCTCAGCATCCTGTGTGGCTCAGCAGGAGCTGATGGATCTGCCCCAGCAGACAGAAGAGGATTCTTATAGAACTGGTTCTGGTGATAGTTGTGGTGACCCATCACATTGCTGGTTAGTGATGTTAACACCCGCCTTAAAGAAATACTCAACCAATCAGAAACCACGGTTGGTGCCGAGGATTTCTCCTTCACACTGGAGGAAAGTGAACCCAAACCAGAACATGTTTTTATTAGATTTACCTCAACTTTTTGTAACGAGAAATATAAAAATCAGGTTAATTTGTTAGAATTGAGATTTTTATTTTTAAGATTTGAGCAGATTTTAGCCTCCTCTGTCCCCACACTGAGGTCAGTCTAGTCTGTTTTCCTGACTCCTCCCTTCAGCCTCACCCTCCCCTCTCTCCTCCTCCTCCTCCTCCTCCTCCAGCAGTATTACATGTGCTGCAGAGCCAGCGAGCAGATCAGGGCTTGAGCCAAAGTCAAACACACCCACCAGCCGAGAGCAGGAGCGTTCAGCAGTCCCTTCAGGAGCAGCAGAGAAACTTCCACAAACACAGCCTGTCCAGCTGCAGGGAGGAGGTCCTCACACACACGGTATGTTTCACTTCTTTTATTTATTTAATTTAATCCAGTTCCTGTGTGCTGTCCTGCTCTCAGCTGGTTGAACTCGTTCACATGGCTTGGAGCTGTTTTCAGTTTGGGGAGGAGCTGCCTGTTTGATAAAGGACTGGAACGTCTCAGTTTTAGGAGCTGGAATCTGTTTCATTTATTCAAAGTTAGAGAGCTGGAGGGTGTGGGCGTGTGCACGGCTCCCACCCACATGGGCGTGCACGCTCAGGTTTGCTGCTTCCACCCACTGCTGAAGAGAGGGGAGGTGTTTTTATCTGCTACCATCAAAGTTCCTGTTTATTATCCTCAATCATCTTTTATTAGTAAATCTAAGTTTAGTTTGATTCCTTCAAAACTGAATGTTTTATTTTGTTTTGATTTTATTTAACCAGGAAATTTTCTAATGTCTTCTGAAAACAGAAAAATTACCCAATGTTTTATGGTTCCCACACAAAAACCAGATGACAGGTTAAAAATAGGACTGAAATTCAATAAAAACCTCATCAGCGGAAGTGTTTAATAGAATCAGAGCTGCTCCCTGTGATCAGAGGAGAAATGTCCTCATAAGGACATCCTGCAGCATTCTTTATGAGTCAGTGCTTCATATTCAAAGATGTTGCAATCAGTGTGAGGAAAAGACAAATCCTGCAGAGCACGCTGATCTCAAGAGAGTTGAGGCAATTAACAGCTTTTTTTTCTGTTTCAACAGAAAAGAGCCGAGGAGGAGGAGATGTTTGTTTTTGTTTTGCCCTCCTTAGATGCAGCTTTATGAGTAATTATGAAGGAATTTATGAGCCCTGTGAGGTAGCAAGAGAGTGAGAAACTTGAGTGAGCAACGTTAAAAGGCTTTTATTTTGAAGGTTCTGCTTTAATTTAGAAATAAAACCTTTTTAATTTCAGAACATCACTTTTCTTAAATCAGTAATATACAAAAATAAATAAAAATACTGAAGAAACTTTGAAGAGAGCTGCAGCTGGTGTTGGTCCAAGTGGTAATCGGTGAGGTGACGGCCGCCTGTAAAACACAGGAGGTCCCAGTTCGTGTTCAAATGTTTCAGTCCAGCTTTATTCATTTAGTTTTTTACCTTTAAGGTAGTCAGATGTTTTTCCTTTGGTCATTCAGAGTTTTTCTTAAAGTTATTTTAGGGCTGTCAAATGATTCATATTTTTAATCTGATTAATCCCAAAGTAGCTGTGAATTAATCATGATTAATCTTAAATTTAATATACATTTCTATTGCATACTGATAAAATAAATTACTTGAGTTATTAACTAGTTTTTAGTGTTTTTATGTAGAAAACAAAACTGATGCTTAGTCATGATTTTTTGAATATAAAACAGGACCTAAAAATGCTCCAAACATACTTGAGTCAGTTAAATTTTGTGCAGAATAATGAGGTTAAATCAAGAATTCAAGGATTTTCATTCCAAATGAGTACTACAT